TTGACAAAACAAAACATTTGGCCACAGAACCATCAACTATTCAGCACATACCGAACGAATAAATATTGACGAAATATGAATTAGAACAAGCGAACATAACGATAGTGGAACGTTATCGCGAACAAAATTTTTTTTTTTTTTGTAAATTCAGTATTTTATCAAAAACCTAGGCTTCCTGATATGTTATCTTTTAGGTTTCAGTGCAGCTAGTTCTGTAATGTATAAATACAACGTTTTTTGAATATGACGTCAATCAATCGAATCCGTTTCTTTCGATTATACTTCGGTGGGCTTTTATTTATCTAAACGGCCTTGGGAAACAAGGAAACAAATCAGTATGAAGGATCTTGTTAGGTCGCCTTTCAGTGGATAAAGACAATATACTTTTCTTTGTTAGTTCGTCACTGACTCTAACCACACAAAAAAGTCTAAACGAGGTCTCTAAGCAACGAATTTATTCAGAAGACAGTGTTGATGGAAGTTTGAGATTTGTACCCCCCAACGGTCGAAGCGGGAGACTATAAAAACCAAATGATCTTGAGCCATAAACCACTTGAGGTAAGAGCCTTATGCGAACGTCAATTTCGGATTTACGTTGTGTCGTGCTGCCCGAGATATTGTTGAGTAAGTTAACTTGAGATTTTGGTGTGACCAAGCATTGACACTCACTATTATGGCTTCATCTATCAGAGCTACCGAAAATCAACAGTCTGGATGCATTATATTTAAAACAAGACAACAATACATTTTGGGTACATCCTCAGAAATAAAGAATACGACAACACAATCATTAAAACTTAATAAATGAGTAAATTATCTATATATATAAAAATGAATTGCTGTTCGTTAGTCTCGCTAAAACTCGAGAACGGCTGGACCGATTTGGCTAATTTTGGTCTTGAATTATTTGTGGAAGTCCAGAGAAGGTTTAAAAGGTAGATAAATGTGAAAATGCTCGGAATTAAATAAAAATAACAATTTTGTTTTTCCTTTGATGCGTCCCCCGTCGGACGGATTCGTTTTATTTGTTTTCAGTTTATTTTATACAAATGTTTAGGTCTTTTATTGATCGATTGAGGCACAACGAAGTCTGCCTGGTCAGCTAGTTGATTATAAAAAAATACACGAAGCACATGCGAATGGTACAGATGAGTCGACCGTTGTTGCATACATTTTGTGATGTATTTGAGATAATTTTTGTAAGTTTTGGTGTTCTATAATGAGTGTTCTGTTCTATTCCAAAAATGACAATCTTAGGCCAAGTCCAAATAAAGATCTGTGGTAAATGAAAGTTAAGAAAATTATGTTCTTTTTAGATAGCTCGAATCGGCTACCTTCCCAAAACCTTGTTATACCTATAGAAACAAGGATATAAAAATTTCTATGAACCCCCAAAGGTCAAACTGTCATTTAGTTTTGGTATTTGGTTTTGGTTTGTTTATTACTTACATTTGAGTTTCTAGGTTTTGTGATATTTAATGTGTGTTAAACAATTTAATAAGTTAGGCTGCTTACTTAACAGACGTTTAGGGAATTCTAGAGGATATTGACAAATTCTGGTTTCGTTAAAATTAAGTCACAGTGTATTACGCAAAACAGTATCTCGACTAACCCGCGACTTACGTTGATCGCGTTGACCGATATACGTCCTTCGAACTAAAGTATAAAGATCATTTTTTATTGTCGAAATGCAGATTGCTTATTGTTATTTTTCCTGTACAATTTTCTAACTATATTTCATTAATTGTTTCAAATAGAACTTTGAATAACGATGACACAACATATAGTTGACATAGTTTGAATAAAATTTATGTTTTTTGTTTGAAATAAACAGCGTGGTGATACGACGCATCACATTTGATTCCGCGATCATAATCGAGTATATCCATGAAGTTAAGTTACTGGTTTATCCATTTACTTGGCCTGAGTTGACATTTCGCTTGTGTCAGTGTGACAGTCGATCAGCTGATTAAAATAAACGCCGCCATTTTGCCTCCGAGTATTATTAAAGAGGGTAGTTTTAAAAGGTATCTAAGGCAATCGATGTAGACTTTTTGGCGGGAACGCGAGGTGTGAAGTTGTGTGATTTGTTTTATTTTGTCTATTTAGTGTTTCTTCAGGTTTAAATATGTAATAACGTTGGTTTGTTAACTGTTTAATATCTGTGAAAGTGCACAAATGTGGGAAAATGAAACAAAGCCGCTGGACGTAGCCTCTCGGGATCCTCCAAAAAGCCTACTGAAAAAGTCTCAGTAAATAACCACCATTTTACTGACATTATATTTCATCCCATATCATCTCATCTCATTTCATCTCAGTTGATTAATGTCTCAAATTTATCAATTTCATTTCATTTCACTTCATATTATCATTTTTCATAAAAATAAGAATATAAATTAAAATAAGACTTGACCTAAAGATTTTAATTATTAGGTCATAAAATCCTTTAAAAAAAGCAAACGATGTTAAGTTTTAATATTAATGACAATATTTCAGAAGTTATCAGTTAATAATATATTGTGGGTAGACTTCCCGCAAGTTCAACTGATGACCTGGTATGGTTCGCGAGACAGTAATCATTCTTTAGTTGAGGATTACTTCCAGTAAACAACTTCTTTCCATCGAAGACGATGATGACACAAATGAAATTTAATGAAAATAGTGTTTATATACGATGCAATTACTTTATTAGTCCAAGTTAGTCAAACTGAAAAATATTTGTAGGTATCTAAGTTTTGGTCTACAGAGACACGGAATAAGTGTGGCACTTTGGCACTTTAATAAAATAATAAATTTTAACATTTCAATAAAACCACCTGTACAAATAGCACTTAATAGATTCGCCAAAAATGGCCTTAGAATTTTGTTACCACAAGCGTAAGTGCAAACAGTTTTAACCCACTAATACATATTCTAGTGTAAAAATTTCAGTATTAAAATTCGGATGCAAATACTGACAAATGGAAAAAAAAATACAGTCAAAGAAAATTGAGTTTGAAAATTGAATCTAANTTCAATAAAACCACCTGTACAAATAGCACTTAATAGATTCGCCAAAAATGGCCTTAGAATTTTGTTACCACAAGCGTAAGTGCAAACAGTTTTAACCCACTAATACATATTCTAGTGTAAAAATTTCAGTATTAAAATTCGGATGCAAATACTGACAAATGGAAAAAAAAATACAGTCAAAGAAAATTGAGTTTGAAAAGTGAATCTAATTTGTTCGGAGGCTGCTTCTTGATTGCTTCTAGAATGGCACAGACGGGATCGTAATGCGTTTTGCAGACTTAATGACTTTCTACCAATTAAATTTGGTGTCTACACATATGATTAATGTAAAAAAAATGTATTGTCTTGTATGTATGGTGGTGAGTGGTTACGCCCATAGACTTCAGCAATGCCAGGGGCAGAGCCAAGCCGCTGCCTACCGCTTAATACTCTCCACAAGCCTCGTTTGAAGAAGGACATGTCATAGCGCTCGGGAAACACCGTGGAGGGGAGCTCATTCCATAGCCGGATGGTACGTGGCAAAAAATATCTCTGGAAACGCACTGTGGATGACCGCAGTGGCTCCAGGTATGGTATGGATGAACTCTACTCCGGTGGCGGGCGGTGCGATGGTAAAAACGAGATGCTGGTATCATCTCGAACAATTCCTCAGAGCACTCCCCATGGAACATACGGTACAAAATACAGAGGGAACCGAAGTCCCTCCGCAGACCCAGAGGTTCCAAACGAATGCGTAGATATAGCCTCGAATCGTATCACGATAGTAATAGCGTACTATTAGTTGTAAGTTTTAGAGGTGGGTAGGTTGTCACTACCATTATAAGGCAACGCGAACTAACGCGCACACTCTGCGTTGTGACTCGGTCGAACGCAGACGCTTTGTTGGGTTGTATTATTTGTACGAAAGTTTTGTTTTCTATTTTTATTTGTGCTTGTCTTTTGCATATTCGAGCTTAATTACAGTACCTATAAGTTTTAATTTCAATAAACCCTGAATTGTGAAGATTCATGATAATAATTAGATATTTGTACATTGGCTCCGTGGGTCGAGCAATTGTCATTTGAAAATAACCCTTATCGCTGCGTTGTTATGAACTAGTATTGGCTGAAGCGCGATTAACTATTTAAAATATTTGCAATGAAAGACACAATTGTTGAATGTCTAAATTTTTAGAGTTATCTAGTTAATGCTCAGTGTTATCAGCGGTGACCCGCTTTTATCGTATGTCTTAATTAAAGTTTTATTTTTTGGTATATTTCGTTTTTCCGTTAACTTTGTTATTTTATGTGTCATTGCAATGTCGTTGTGACATGTGCTTATTGTACTATTACGTACGCGAGAACTGGACTACATGCCTTGGACTACATGGATGTGGGTTACAATTTTAAAACAAGTGACAATGGTCTAAGTAGCAAGCAAACGCGTCTACCCAATTGGCTGCGTCACAAATGACTTTATTACAAGAATACCTGAGATGACGGCTCTACTCTGGTCTGCACTACTCAATAGACCCCCTTAGTGTGTCAGAGGACGCGTGTAATAACAAAGCCGGTTGATTACGCACTACTTTATTATATTGACGGCGGACGCAGCCGCCGATGCTTACATACCTAACAACCCTTTAGCAACCTCAATAAGAAGAGGAAATAACAAGAGTAAGAACTGATCGAAGAGAGTAAGCCGGATATTTTTAGAAAGCATCATTTTCCTGTGTTCTTTAAGTGTTTCAAATACCTTTTTCACTTGTATGATAGCTACTAACTTGAGAATCTTAAAATCTTCTATAAAGCTGTTTTACACTTGTATAGGTTATACGTAGGACCTTCAAAAATAGACTTTCGGTCGTCAGCAGAAGGTCTTCAGGTCTCGTCCAGCTGCCAACGGATTAATTTTAATGCCTTAGATCGCCTCGTGCTGGCCAAACGGTTAGTAACCTCGGGTCATCTGGCCAAACTTTTAAAATATTAAACAACGTGCAATAACTTACGTAATTCATACAGTTTGTCCGCCAATCTTGAGTTTTGGGAACTGTAACAAAAAAAAGTAATGGTCTTATCATGTTTTTTTATTTAAAAATTTTTATTGCCTAGATTGTTGGACGAGCTCACAACCCATCTGGTATTAAGTGGTTACTGGAACCCATAAACGTCTACAACATAAATGTCGCCACCCACCTTGAGATATGAGTTCTAAGGTCTCAGCATGTTTGGTAATAAATTAACGTGTCTTGTATGTATCGAATTAGGCCGTGCTTACGCGACTTACTTTGAAAGCATTTTGTCACTCGATTGAGGAAAAATATTTGACTAATCCACATTACAAGGTCATCGAACTTGGACGAGGAAAAAGCAGTGATTCTATGAACTAATAAAAAATATCTCTTCTCCGATAGTTGATGTAAGGGTTACAGAGGTGACTTTGCTTATGGTACAGGGTGTGGCGTTAGGGGTTTCCAAAAACCTGTTATATTTCTACACCATTCCATTTTGACCGCGCGCTTACTAGAGGGCGCTAGGGTAATGATTGCAAACGGGCGCTACATTTGCTAGAGGCTCCTTTGAATAGTTGAAGACGAAAAAGCGATATCAATCGATTAAGTACGTTATTAAGACTCGCTACCACATTGTTAAAATCATGAATGTGAACCCATAGACACAGCCCACTGAGTTTTCGCCGGATCTTCTCAGTGGGTCGCGTTTCCGATCCGGTGGTAAATTCGGCGAAGCACTTCTCTTGCTAGGGTCAGTGTTAACATCACTCCGGTTTGAGCCCCGTGAGCTCACCTACTAGTTAAGGTTACGCTGAAATAGCCTCTAAAGGCTATCAGCGTAGGTAGGAAAAAAAAGTGAATGTAATTTTTGTTTTCCTACTGACGATATATGAATATGAACCAGCCTTATAAAACGTCTTTCCAGTGATCCAGTTCCAATTGTTGGTGATCAAAACGCACTTTCTTTGAACCTAGTACAGACTTCAGCTCTTTCAAAGGCTTACCAAATAAATTATATGGTTAATTTCTATTTGTATTTGTACTATACCTTTAAGAGAGAAATAAAAATAAATTATTATTATTATTTATTATTATTATATATTACTCATTTAATAGGGTATCGGCATATAGGTTACTTCTATCTATCTATCTCTTAGATATCTTCCGGAGGGGATGGTGAGGCAGTGCTGTTCTCGTCGCCATACAGCTGTGGCAATATCGATTCATAGACGTCTAAATATTGCATCGTACTAATTTTTCTAAATTCAATCAACAGATAGGTGGTAGGACATCAACTGGTGGTAGGACCTCTTGTGAGTCCGCGCAGGTAGGTACCACCACCCTGCCTATTTCTGCCGTAAAGCAGTAATGCGTTTCGGTTTGAAGGGAGGGGCAGCCGTTGTAACTATACTTGAGACCTTAGAACTTTATCTCAAGGTGGGTGGCGCATTTACGTTATGGATGTCTATGGGCTCCAGTAACCACTTAACACCAGGTAGGCTGTGAGCTCGTCCAACCATCTAATAAAAAAATAATAAAAAAATTATTAAAAAGTTTTTTTTTATTTTTTTATTGCTTCGATGGACAGATAAGCTCACAGCTCTCTTGGTGTCAAGTTATTACCGGAGCCCATAGACGTCTACAACGTAAATGCCATTCACCCTCATAAACCCACCTTGAGAAATGAGTTTTAAGTCTCAGTTTTTACAGTATAATTAATGAGTCATAGAAACATTTATAGAAAAACAGAGCCAATATTCAGACTGTGTATCGATCACCTATTTTATTACTGCGTGCTTTAAACCCGATGCCCTTCGATATTACCGTTATAAAGCTCGGGACTAATTTGTTGAATCGACTCAAGCACCACCTATCGCAACTAAAAAAGCACAAAGTTTTATTCCAATTACGATATATTTAAGAGCACTCCGAAGCTCCCCGTCCACTTTTGAATCGCGATAATGTAACGAAATCCAAGTACACAGCGAAAGTGAAGCCGGTACATAATTCGGAGGCTTCTAACCATTGTAAAGTTCCCACTGAACCCGGAAACATAAGCCTACACATTATGTACATATGACTAAAACGGTCCAATAGCGTGAAATGTCAAAGTTCAAACGTCCAATCAGACGGCGCACCGTAGAATCCGAACTATGTAGGCTGTATTCGAGAGTGAAATCTGACCAATCATGTGTGTCAAGAACGCGTGTGGGTTACGTGTTAGAGCGTCTTGTCGCGATGTGTGCGTGCGTAGGCTTTGTTTTCGGGCGTGTGTTTTGATAATTGCTAAGGTTATTTTCCGGGACAAGTTTCTCATTGTGCCCTCGAAGATTTCGATAAGCTTCCGCGGTTTGTTTCCGTTATTTTGTCGTTAAATAAATCGTACGACGAAATTTAAAACATCCGGTGTTGTAAAAAGTTGTGAAACTAATGCGATGTTTGATGACATGCGAAAGCTCTACGACTTTTTTTTTTCTTAACCAGGAAATGCAATTTATTCGTTTGACCTCGAAAGTAATGAACGGACATGAATCACTTATATTACCTAGATAATGTATTAATGTGTAAAATGCTGTGATTATATGTCATTAGCATATTCCTTCAATCAAGACACGTAGATATTTATCATCAGTAATTTCAGAGACAAAGCCAAACCGCCAAAGCCTCAGCAGCTACAAAAAACCGGTCCCATGTCACAGATAGTCTTTAAAATAGCACCCAATATCCCAATACCTCTTTCTTGACCATTCCAATCTTGTATACACTTGCAGCCAAAATGTCTGTCGTCATTTGCTACCAAAATTACCTTCAGAGCATCAGTGCATAGTCATAAAACACAAATATTTCTTTATTTCCTAAGCACAAAATGCTCACACAAATATAACTCGGCACAAGGATATTATTGTTGAAGAATATTGATAAGCGTCCAATAAGTACGCTGCATTTTATTTCTATAAGTTTTTTAACCTCGATTCATTGAATTTGTATCACAATAAGTTAATTATGTAATTAATGGAGTCGTTTAATTGCGATCTTGCATCAACTTTACGTTTTCACTAAAGACTTCGATGAAGAAATGGTTTATATTGTGGGTCCGTCCGAGTAGAGGGAGCTATATTTCTTTTGACGTCACACACGAGGTCTTCAAGTCAATATGAACTGTATTTCTGGATATTATAACGTGCATTTTTCAACACATCCTCGGAGTTGGATTCTGAGTTTCAATGGTGTAGCAGTAATCTGTCGTAACATCCAGAGCTCACACTCGTGCTTACAATAAACACAACCTTCATCTACATTTTTTCTTTTTTTCATTTTCTATTTATAAGTAGCTTTAATTAAAACTAAAATTTTGGACCCCACATAGTGGGATAAGGTGGAGAAAAAGAAGAGGAGAAGAATTAAAACTAAAATTATGTTTTCATAATTATTAATACATCATAATTACAACAAAGTGTTCTTTGATTGTATAACATTTCTTTACAAGTTTATTTATTTAGTTTGATTGATTTTTTTATATTTTTTTATTTGATATTTATTATTATTTGATAAATTGATTTTACGGATACGATTTTAATGCAATGCTATGCCTTCGTGAGCACTAGTGCTGTACGTAACGATGAGATAGGCGTCTCTGAGTCTAACAGTGGAATGTGGTATGCGTTTGGTTTATGACTGTCCACGTCTCACTGAGCTTTTAATTTTTTCGGTCATAATAGATAGGTGACAGTGTATTCACGAGTGCTCACGACAGTCAATTCTGTTAACAAAATTTGTACTAAGTTAATGACATGTCCAAACGGCGTATGTCATGTCAAAATAAAACAATAACTGGGTTTTTTAGGTTAAAATAAATCACCCAGCCGACATGATATTCAAAAGCGTGCATTCACATTTCATATTTACTTAAGCAATGTTAAATTTAAATACAAAACGTATCTGTGTTAAATGCAATATTCGCAAAAAAGTAATGCCTATATCAAAAGGTTAGGTTCTCGCGATAAGAGTGCAGTGAGTGCTAGGGATGTACGTACGTGCACTTATCGATAGATTTTCATCGATAACGTTCGAACTATCGACACCCGTTGAATTCTTTTTGTCGCCGATTCGTATAGTTTTTCGTTCATGGGAATGATTTAAAAACAGTTTTCTTTTATGTATGCGCTGCGCTATTTATTTTGTATCAAAAATTAGCCTACTCAACTCCTGGCTGGTTTATGCAATGAATTGTCCACGATTGACTTTCACGATGAAGGAATAACATCGTGTAATAAAAATCAAACCCGCAAAAATTATAATTTGCGTAATCACTGGTGGTAGGACCTCTTGGGATTCCGCACGGGTAGGTACCACCACCCCGCCTATTTCCGCCGTGAAGCAGTAATGCGTTTCGGTTCGAAGGGTGGGGTAGCCGTTGTAACTATACTGAGACCTTAGAACTTATATCTCGAGGTGGGTGGCGCATTTACGTTGTAGATGTCTATGGGCTCCAGTAACTACTTAACACCAGGTGGGCTGTGAGCTCGTCCATCCATCTAAGCAATAAAATTTTTTATCTAATTTAAAGTCTTAATTAATGTGTACTTTGTGGCAGTAGCCATCAGAGAACACAAGATATATTGCCAGATGCCTGAATCTCGCTTACGATCTTTTTAAGATAAGCTTGCATGTATACAAGTTCCGAACAACAACATTCGGAGCGTCGGTCTACCGAGCAATACCAGCCGCTCAGTGGAAGATCTCTCTCCGTCGTATATTCCCACATACTTATTCACATTTAAGAATCCGACATTTCTCAGAAATGACGTCCTTAAGGAAGGAATAAACTAAAGCTTGCTAACTTCTACCGCCAAGCTGTTCAGTCTGGTCGGAAGGATGGAACTCCTATCGAGTATTAAAATGTAGACTTAATACGGCAACAATTCCAAAATATGACATTTAAATGACATCTGCTTAATAATATCGACATGTTGAGAATATAATGCCCATCCCTAGCCGTGGGTAGGGCCGCTTATCATTGCAAGAGATTGCGATTGAT